ATAAATATTATAAAATAGATAGAAAGAAAGAGAGAAAGAAGAATACAATGCTTATAAATAATTTGCTAAAAAAACAATATTAAAAGTAATTTACAAAATAAAATTTAAAAAATCGCATAAAAACATACAAAAATTTTGAAATATATATAAAAAATATTGTAGCAAGTTGCATTGAGATATGAAATCAAACAATCGTTTTTAAGCAGAGGTAATATAAACTTCAACGATAATCGCATGCAAATCAAAATCCGCCAATGCAAATGTAATAAAACAGATTTCATTGTCTCGGAGCGATATTAATAATCCGTTCTTATTTTTTTTTAAGATCGTTTTAAGTAATATCTTAAGAAGCTAATACAGTCTTTTAATTGGTTTATGACATCTTAAGACTGTACTTAAAACAGTCTTAAATGTAAGAATATTGATCTCGATATTGCGGAATCGGCTTGGTCTAGATTCGCTCTAAGCAAATAAACGCCAGCGGCCAAATCGCAAAAACGATTCGCCTATAGCAAATTTTCCGCGGCACTATCTTCGACGATGCTCGGGACGTGACTCGGGAGCGCACGGAAGCGTTCGGTTACGATCGGGCACCTTCGTGAGCGCGCGGAATGCTCGACGCTCGACTCGGAAACGACGGTTCGAGTACGTTCGAATCAGTTGGAGAGCGTACGAACAGTTTGCGAGCGGCCGCGCGACGGTACGGTTGATTGGCGAGTGATAGTGTGTAGCCCATCGACAGTTAACCAAGTGATCGCTACTTCAAACCACCATCACGCCGTCGTAGCATGTACTCAATAGTCCGGAGCCACGTATACCGCTTACCGCATCGCGAGCCGCGCAACAAACTCGTCTCATACGGCTACCGTTAGGGCAGCCATATTCCTCCGCGGCTCTTTCGCTTTCACGTATGTGACACGGGGATAACGGAGTTTCACGCCCTTTTGAATCTACGCGCGCGTAGTCGCGGAACTTGTGTGTGTGTGCGCGCACGGTGGTAGTATGATTTTCTCTTGGATATTCCAGTGAGTCGTGTGGTGAGCGCCTTATACCGGGTGGGCCGAGTCGATCGCGTGCAAAGTGTGAAGCGGTGTAATTTTTCTGTTTTTGCTATCGCTCTTGTAGCGTGCGGAAAGAAAAAGAGAG